TGTCTGCTCCTCATCCCTGCACAGAGCCCAGGTCCAGGAGCACAAACATTCCCAGTTTGCTGGAGTGAAATCCCAATCTAAAAACTGGGGATTGAAAATCCCAAATCATGGAAAAAAATTCCCCAAATTCAGATTTCAGTGGCAGCATTTTGGGGCCCTCACCTTGAGCTTCTTTCAGGGGGAATGGCTGAGGGGGAGCAGAACTTGTGGGGTTTGGGCTTCTGGAGGGGTTTGGGAGCTGAGCCAGGGCTGAGGAACCCCCTGCCCGTGGAAAGGGAGCTTGGGAAAAGGTTTGGAGAGGAAATCCAAGGATTGCTGTGGTGCTGAGGGTGAGGCAGGCCAGCTGTGCCCTGCCAGAGTGATTAAAGAGAATAATTCCAGTTCCTCTCTGTGAATTTCTGCAGCTTTGAACATCCCTGGCATGGGACAGCCCCAGCAGCAGAGGCTGCCCCAGCCCTTGGAGCACCCCCAGGGTTTGGGGGTGTCACATTCCCTGTTTGTGTCACCCCCAGGGCAGGCTGGGGGTGGCATTTGGGTCACAACCAGCCCAGGGAACGCTCCAGGCTGGGATGGAGCGAGGCCAGGGAAGGGTTTGGACCCCAGGAAAGGCTGAGGGAGCTGGGAAGGGGCTCAGCCTGGAGAAAAGGAGGCTCAGGGGGGATCTTGTGGCTCTGCACAGCTCCTGCCAGGAGGGGACAGCCAGGGGACAGCAGGCTCTGCCCTCAGGGGACAGCAGGACAAGAGGGAACAGCCCTGAGCTGTGCCAGGGGGGTTTGGGTTGGATATTGAGAAAATTCCTTCATGGAAAGGGTGGTAAACCCTGGCACAGCTGGAGCCCCCAGCCCTGCAGGGATTTAAAATCCATGGGGATGTGGCACNAGGAGCTGTCGGGTGCCCTGCTGGCAGCCTGGCCCTGCCCCTCAGATCACTCTCTCCTCTGTCTGTCTGTCTGTCTGTCTGTCCAGGACAAGGTGCTGAGGATGCTCTACGTGTGGGCCCTGTGCCGGGACCAGGACGAGCTGAACCCTTACATGGCCTGGAGGCTGCTGGACATTTCCTCCTCCAGCACGGAGCAGGTGCTCTGAGCAGGGCTGGGCTCAGGGCTGGGCCCTTCCCACCCTCTGCCAGCTGCTCCAGCCTGGAACCCCCACGGGGAGCTGAAGATTTGGGATTTGAGCTCCTGATTATCCCAATCCCTGAGGAATGGGAATCCCTGCTCGGGGACACCTGGGACGAGCAGCTGCTGCTTCATCCTCGTGCCTCAGAGGCTCCTGGGCAGCTGGGGACCCCCAGAGCTGTCATTCCCACCTGCTGGCACCCTTGGAGATCCCTGGAAGGGCCTTGGAGGGGGCTCCTGGCTGCCAAAGTCCTGGCCAGGCTCCAGCCTCGCCTCCCTGCCGTGTCTTGCACTTTCCCAAACCAAATACAACCAGGACTTTGCACATGGAGGTGTTGGATCCTCAGGTTGGTGGTGGGATGGGGCTGATAGCTGAATATCCAGGGGGGAGATTTGATTATCCACAGCTTGGAAGGGGGAATGGTGTTGGTTCTGGTCACAAAGAGCCACGGCTGCATCCCTTGGGGTGGTGGGAGGGTGTGGGGCAGGGAGGGTGTCAGAGCAGTGGGACTGCTTTGGGAACGCTGAATTTTCCTGTCCCATCCTGATTTTCCTGTCCCATCCTGATTTTCCTGTCCCATCCTGATTTTCCTGTCCCATCCTGATTTTTCTGTCCCATCCTG